CTGGGTGAGACAACTGAGAAATTTCATGAGATGCAGCGATTTAAAATATATACTTGTTAAAATATATAAATTCTGACATACAATTGAGTAAATGAGGAAAATTTTAGGCTCACAGAAAGACTTCAAAGAAGAATGGTTATGATGGGAGAGTTTGCAAAAGCTACAGAGGAATCCAAGGAGTTTACAATGAAAACATACAGGCAGGAAGGCACCAGTGAAAGGGAACAGTCATTATAGAAAAGTGATGCTCTTTCTCTGCTACAGCGTATCATCTTGGATAGTGGTGTGAAAGGCAGGGAAGTGAGTAGGTTGAAAAGAGTTGTCCAGATCCAAAGCACATGCACCCAGGTAAAAGAGTATAAGAGAAGGAAAGACTTTGCTGAAGACTTAGTTAGGTGGGGTAGAACATCTGATGAAAGAAAAGGTGAAAAAATGGAGGAAAGAAAACAATTTTTAAAATTACTGTTCCTCCTGTACAAAGTCCCTTAAGGTTCTGTTCTTGATCAAGTTCTTTTAGTACCTGTATCTTATCATTGGGACAGATTCAACATGGGTATTTGCTTCAATGTAGCTTTTGTTTCTCTTAGATTTAAATTTTGATTCCCATGAATCCTGATGTTAGTCAAGCATTATCTGTCTTGTCTCTCTATTTGGATTAATCCATTAAAAATGGGTACAGCAGAACATCTGATGGACTCTGACAATAAAGAAGTCATGCTCAATGCCTCTTTATCCATCCATCCACTTTCTGACTGCTTTTTTCAATACAGGTTCACGTAGGAGCTGAAGCCTGTACTGACAAACAACAGGTGCAAGGCAGGATACACCCTAGATGGGATGCTTGTCTATCACAGGGCAGACAAACATTCATATGATCACACCAAGGACCAATTCTCCCAGAAGCCAATGAACCTACCACCATGTTTTGGGGCTGTGGGAGTAAATCAGAGCATCTGAAGGAAACCCACATGAACAGGGGGAAAACGTACAAACCCCATGCAGATAGTACCCCGTGCATCCTGTCAAGCCTTACATCTGAAGCTCTCCAGTTTTGAGAAAGTTTCTTTCTTAATCTTTTCAGAAATGAACATATTTGTACATCTTTCTCCCAGTCCAATGCAGTAAAGCTCATGCATGTCTTTATGAATAGAAGTATGGTTACAAACAAGATCAGGCCATTTGGTATACATAACCCATATGGTAGTTAATAGCTCATTGATTTGAGGACTTCATCATGTCCTTTCTTCCAGGCTCCCACAATCATTTTTGTACACATGTTTAATATATTTCCACATACTGCCCACTAGTTCATGTTTCACTGTTGATATTGAAGACGTTGCCTGCATTTACTTTGTATGTTCTCTGAATTTTCCAATTTAGGTCAATGCCACTGAGTATTTTCAATACCCCCTAATAGTCTACTCTGTTCAAGACTAAAAAGGTTCAGCTCTTTTATCCTGTCAGTGCTTGACAATTCTGAAGGCTGGCAATGTATCTTGTTGCTCTTCTCTGGACTGGTCCCAGAACAGTAGTGCCATTCAATCATCTTTCAAACTCTGTCTCAAAACTCACTCTCACACTCAGTACTTTTGTACTCTTTAACTTTTAATTCCATTTAATTCATTGTTTTAATTTGATTATACCACTCAAAAATTTGGATTTTATTTTGATTTTATGGTACAGTGCCCTGAGTTAATCTACCATGAAAGGTGACAAATAAAATAAAAATATTTATAATAAATAAAAATTCTAGGATTCCTCAATTGGAAAATGAGTGATTCAAAGCTCTAAACTTTCTCATGCATATAAAGTGCATATTTAGGGATTAATTTATTTAATTCTAAGACATCCATAGAAATGAAAGCTTTTCTAATCTTTTTAATGTTATCAGTTATGCATCTACATCCATAGCCAAAGAATAATAGTACAGTGCTACAGCATGAGCAGGTACTGTAGTTTTATATTTTTCCTCATCCCTAAGTTTATTTGTGTTTTGTATGATGATAGTTCAAATGTTTTTTTGTTTAATTGTGTGATAATGATAAAAAGTGAAAAACTAATCAAGCGGAGACATTTGTTTTTGGAAAATTAATAATTAATATTAAATAATACTAATAACACACAGAAATTAAGAATGAAATAAAAGTCAGATTCAACTAGGGGGAAAAAGATTAAGGGACAGAGAGACTTCACTTTGCTTCCTTTTCTTTTGTGCTAAGATAGCATTGGAAAAATATAATATGACAAGGTGTGACATTCTTGAGCTTTCCTGCTTGAATACAAGTGAGCCGTCACTGTCTGTCAAACTCTCCTGCATTTTGGTGAAAGTCAGAAGAATGTTATTGACACTACGATGTAACTTTATCATACTTTGCAAAACTATTTGGTCATAAGTCAACATGTACTTGTTGGCACTCTTTCATTATTTTTCCCATCTTCCCCTGATGCTTTGGCTTTCTTGTTGGTGCATAGGTTTGTCTGGAATTGAACCCAGGGCTCCAGTGCTATAAGGCAAGAATGCTGACCACTGAGTCACCCCATGCCATCCAATGGCCTACTGCTCCTTGTTACTTGACTTATTTTTGTGCACATCAGACAAAATATTTGTTTAAAACCATAACAGAAGGAAATGCTTGACTTTTTTTACACATTACATGAATATACTGTATATTAACCACATAGGGACAGGAAACATCTTTTGTATGCAGCATTCATATTCATTATAAAAGGTTGCGAGAAAATAAATATGCTTGACTAATTGTAGTAGGGACTGTAAATACGAGCTGGCTAGCAATGACCTTTTCAAGATTATGAAGTAAAAGTCAATTTTATAAATAGCTTGAAAACTGAAGAAAATATCAGGGTGAAATGTAAACCTTTACAGAAAAACAGGAGGTATCATCCGCAAGCCTGCCAGAAAATAAAAAGCGATGGTGTAAACAGTGTACAATACAAGTCCGTCTATACTTTAGCAAACAGAACTGACAGTAGGAGATCTGGAGCTTCATTTCGTGTTACAATAGCAGAGAAGAAAACTAATGGTTCAGCTACAAGCAGATCCTGGTCACAGGTTAAGGAAAAGATGTAGGTGAGAGATTTATGTAGGATGCAAAGTTATCCAGAAAGAAAGGTGGTTGGACCATGTTGCTATTCAAAGGATGAAGCTACCAGTGAAGAAAAGCTTTTGTTGAAATGGCTACGTGATATGAATGCACAATAACAGTCTCGGAATCCGGGACAGCCTGTCAATGGATGTGGATTTGCCTGGTTCAGATTAAGCAAACTGCTTTTCAGTCTTTGGTATAAATCCCCCAGCGTTTCAGACTGTACCAAGAATAACTGCTTTTATTGCTTCATCAGTTGAGCCCATGAAATAGGTGCCAATTCCTCATGGTTTGAATAGGTTACTTCTTACAGCAGTATATTGTTACGGCGAAGTGCCCTAGCCTTAACTGAACACTTATGCAGAATCAGGGCTAGTCTGTGGGCTGTGGTTACGAAGAAATAGCAGTACTTATCCAAAATTTCAGATCCGTAAATCAAGTCTTGACAGGCGTAGGTCAGAAAACCAGAACGTCAGATAACAGGTACTAGAGGTTGACAGGGAAGTAGAGCTCCTCTGGTGAACCAATACTAAGCATGGTGAATAGGGGAGTGAGTCCTTATTTAGTTTGATGTCTACATGACTGATTGGGCATTTGAGTAATAAGTCTGCTTGAGTGGGAAGGGCTCACAAGGGCTTGTGATGGATTATGCACAACTGTATCCTCAGTGCAGGTCAAAAGGTCTTTATCGAAACGTGCAGAAGGGATATAATAAGCCAAGACATAGGATGAGTTTCATTTCAAGATAGTAAAACATAAAGATTGAAGGAAAGAAGTTAATTTCTCTCTCTTTTTAGCCAGAGACCTAAGGAAGAAAAAAAAACATTTAAATTTGCTGTTGCTAAGTTTCATAATATTTGTATCTATTGTAATTACTCCATGTTTATACAGTATTCCTCATCTTAGGTTCACTGCATTCTTGGTGCTGTCTAGCAGAGCGACTCGGTGTTGCAAAACTGTATTTGACCAATGTTTTAGCTGAGAATTCACAATGAAAAAGCAGAGTTTGAAGTGTTGTTAAATGTATTCGTTATTATCAACAGGCAAGATGGTTGTTGTGATTGGTTTCAGGCCCTACAAATCATTCTAAATCCAGGCAAGAAAGTGATTATGTTAATGTCATTAAAGTAATGAGCGGATTACCCTGGCAAGAGCTGTGCAACCTCATTTGGCTAGTTCATTGGTTAATGTGATTACCTCAAAGGTTCTATGACTGTAACAGCCACTGAATTTGAATACGGCACCCATTATTTAAAAAGGGTGAAGAAACTAAATGGACTCTCTTGTACTCTTCATTATAGATACTCCCATGTCTTTGCAGATACAGTACTTTCTTTAAATGTAAATAAAAACTTATTTCAGCTCATAAAATTCAGTTTCCATATATGTTGTTGAGGATCCAGAATAGCTTAAAAGAAACAGCTAATATGAATCCCATATAATGAAACCTGCTTGACATCAGGGGATAACTGAAGTTCTGTGTGGCAATTGTATCGGTTAATTTACAGAAGTAATGCATGTATAATGTGTTGCTACAGAATATTTTCTAAGAAATTATAAAAAGTATTATAAAAACTCAATGTGTTTATTAATATACAGTATGACTTTCCTCTAAAAAAATAAGATCATTGTCAATGTTTGAACACTGGTTTTCTCTGTTTCAGCAGATTATGGCAGAAGTTTGAATGTATGTAAAAATAAGATATATTTATAACTGATCCTTCACAATGCTATTTTTCCTTTATTATTACAGTACTTCCCCTTTATCCAAACAGGAAAGAAAACAACACAAATGCTTATTAAAATTACACAAACTGTTTTTTATAAGAGCAACACATTTTATTTATATGTTAATAGTGTTTGATGAATAGTACACATTCATGTCTTACCTGCAAATAAAAAAAACAGAAAGCATAGGTAACAAATTCTGATGTCTTTTCTTTTTATGTTGTCACCCCGACACAGCTCCAGATTCACAAGGTCAGCCTCAGATTTTGGTCTTGGACACATTGTATCCGGATGATATTTTTTTTTTTTAAGTTTTCCCGTTGTTTACCTTGGGTGTGAATCTCCTACTTAAACATTTTTATAATTCCATATATTGGTTAAAAATGTTAAGTCCTTGATAGAATCCATACCATTCACCTTGAACACCTTTTTTTAGTTGATGATATTGATGATCTTTTACTTTAGCAGTTTAGATAGTACTCTGATGTTCTCAATGATGATGGGTACAGGGTGTTTTGCTTTTGTGTTCAACCTCTTTAAATAACCTAGTCAACCTAGTGACAATCAAGGTGACATACAGAAGGTTCTAAAAAACGTTCTGCAGCTACAGTACGTGATAACTACGAAAATTCAGAGAATTGTATTTACTGTATTTATTTTAAACATACTGTATTTACATGATATGAATAAATTTGTACATTTTGTATTTGGAAATGTATGCAATTATTTTCAGTTATGTTACTGATATATTCAGCATCATTTTACAACCAATAATACTTTATAAGTGTTGAATATTCGCGATCTTTGCTGCTTTTTCTTAGCTAAACCACCTTTTAGTCATAATTCATTAAAACTGTGCTATAACTTACTTATATTTATAATAGAAAAAAGTAAAATGTTTACATATTTCATATTAAAATACATTCAGTATCATACTCCTCAATTCCCCCAAACAGGATAAGCAAGTGAACCATTTACATCAGTTATATTAATGCTCACACAGTATGATTTTTCCCAATGTGTACACGGAAAGTTACATTTTACATTTTACAATTTAAGAAACCTTATTAATGCACCCCCAATATCAAGTCGAGAAAGCATTTCTGTGATTTAAAATAATAATATTTACCATTAGTCCATGATTATGCATACTTCATGAGCAAACATACATGACTTTTTATTCTTAAAAATAAAACCCACTTTGTTAAGTCCAAAAACATACTAAGGCTTTAAAATGTAATATCTACATGTATCACTGGCATATCAGAATAGGTATGGTAATAGGTAATAGGTATTTACCTATCTGAATAGCTTCAGATTTTCCTTTTTTTTACTTTTTACTTCTCTCACTTTAATTTAAGCAAACATGACGAATGTTGCACTATTAGGATTGCAGATAGCTGTGGTGAAGTTTGTTATACCAAAATGTAAATATAATAATAGCCAATTTATTGTAAAGGATGATTTTTCTTTTCAATGAACTCTAGGGAATGTGGTGTGAATTTCTACAATACACTTTGCTGATGTTTCACGTAGTTCCTGCGTTCTAAGTAAACTGAACATACAGTTAGTTCTTAACAATTTATATATATTTCATTAAACAGATACTGTATACTTTATCATTAGAATGTATAACGTCAAACATTCATATATCTACTCTGACAATATTACAGTTACTTATAATTTCATTTGATAATGAATCTGAAACATTAGATCTGAACAATACATTCTTATGTACTTTATATAATGAAAAATATTTTGTCATTGTTATGTAAACAAGCATTAATGTAAACCATTAGGAGTGAAAGGTGTTATTCTGTCTAAGCAAATATCGGCTTCACAGTCGTCCAAATCACAAACTGAATCAGTTACGATTTCATTGTTGTGAGATAACTGCGATATCCTGTCAAAAGTATCTTCGTTGTCATCAATGCAGTCAACCACGTTCGGAATCATGTTTACATAAGCAGTTACTATTTCTTTATGAAACAGAGTGTCTTGGTTATATGAAACTAGTTCGTTACTTATGTTCACTGTTTCAACTGCGGTGCTTGAACATAAATTACGACACCCTAAAAGGTTAGAAAAGGCTTTTCGGAAGTCTGCGTTGAACGCATAGATAATTGGATTTAAGGAAGAGTTTGTCCAACCAAACCAGACAAACACGTCAAAAGTAGTTTCACTCACGCAAGGAAGACCAGCTTTATTATCAGTTGACGGTCGGTCACAAAACGGGACCATGCAGTTTAAAATGAAGAACGGCAGCCAGCAGCACACAAAAACTCCCATGATCACCGACAAAGTTTTTAAGACTTTGGTTTCCTTCTTAATTGATGTTTTCAGCGAAGTATGGTGCTGGCATTCTAGTCTGTTGCTCCTGCAGCTTTGCGCGTGCTCCGCCGCTCGCTCTAAAGAAGATATCCTTCGGATTTGAATCTGGGCAATCCTATATATTCTTGTGTAAGTCACAATCATAATCGCCACAGGAATGTAGAAGCTTATTAAAGAAGATGATATAGCATATGTTCTGTTGAGACTGGAGTCACAATTTTCAGTTTTTTCTCCACTAGTTGTATCACCATCTGCCTCTGTGCTGGCTTTATGCCAGTTCAGTTGCACAGGTATGAATGAAATGAGAACTGAGAGAGTCCATGTTACACTGATCATTACAAAGGCCACCCTTTGAGTCATTTTTCTTTCGTATCGGAACGGACTCGAGATAGCCCAATACCTGTCCACACTAATAATACACAAGTTAAGAATTGATGCCGTTGAGCACATAATGTCAAAAGCCACCCAAATGTTACAAAAACTGCCAAATGGCCAAAAGCCCGCAACTTCAGCTACTGCTTTCCATGGCATAACCAGTACTGCAACAAACAAATCCGATACAGCCAAAGACACGATGAATATATTTGTTACTTTAGTTCGCAAGTGTCTGAACTTAAGCACAGCGGAACATACCAGAATGTTTCCTAACAGTGTCCACAAGATAAGCAAGGAAAGCAAGCATCCAGTTACCGTCCGGACTATCAATTCCTTTCTGCCATCAGTTGTTGCCTCCGATTCGGTGGTGTTCCACATTATTTCTCCCAGAGAAAATGGAACAGAGTGACTTTCCTGCTCTGAGTAGTATTTCGCCGGAGTCTCCATGAATTTCTGAAGTGTAAAAGCTCTGAATTTCTCTTTGCTGTCTAAGAAGGAGTTATCTGACAGCAAGCTCCGTTCTCCTTCGAAGCCATGCTTGTTTTTTCAGCTCAAAAATTCTTATTACCTGAAGGCTGGTCAAGCAGTAAAGGACCAAACTGAGGCATTGCGCGTCCTGCAAGGTTTTGCTGCCACATTGCTAGCAAGAGTACTGTTTTACCTTCTTGCCTGATGATATTCTTCAAGCAAGAAAACATAGAAGTAATGAGGCACCATGCTTGGTAAAAGCTTTGTCTGAAAATCAAATCCTCTGAAGCACGGGGTAACCGTGACAAGTGTGCTAAGAATTGGTGCCTACCGTTTACCCATTTCCAATAGGCATTGTCCAAAGCCAGACCATTCGCTCGGCTATCACGTCACTACTGATAAAACGTGTTTCATGAAAACATTCTGTAAATATTTCATTTTGAAGTATTTGTTTGTAACCTTTATTGATCACTTAATAAAACGTACTTGCTTTAATTCTAATATGCACCTTGTAATGTCCTATTTAATTCTATCTAGTTGCATCTAATTTATTCAAGGCAAGATGGGCACATCAAAGCATGGCTGAAAGGGAGCATACAGTATATGATTGCGTAAATTATAGACGATGATGACGACTTCACTGTCGTATTTAACTGACGAGACACGACCTACTGAGAAACAACAAAAAATGAAAACCTGTGGATTTGACACTGTAAGAGGCTGAAGTTAGTGTAGGCATTTTCGTTCCTAAATCTACAGTAGCTATACACTATATAATGATATGTACTAACGCACTATACTGTATATACTGAATATCATATTGATGCATTAATACATTAATTACATTGAGGCTTTATTAAAAAGAAAATATATCAAAGAAAAGAAAAACTGAATCACTGTATTTGAATATAGACATCACATATTAAGAATACCTTAGGAACAGTAACTTTAAAAATCACTTGAATAACATCATAACTACATAACAATATAATAAAAAAAATACTAATAATAAGTAATGCAGCAGAGGCTCGGGTTAAGCATGTCAAACCTGGAGCACAGAAGGTATCTTCTCTTTGACATATTTAAATTAAGTTCAGAGTTTATTAAATTTACCACAGGGTATGTTGATTGGGTACGATCATGTGATCTTTGGTCTTAATTAGCTGCCTTGTTTTATCAGCAACTGCGAGTTTAGAGCTATCCATGGTACTGAAGAGTTGGTTTTTTTTTAAGGAGCTTGAGTGTTCTCTCAAAAACGACATTTACAGTAGCTACATTTAGAGATTTGACAGTAAGCAAACTGCGATATTCTTAAAAACCACGGATTGTAACCAAGGGTTAAATTACAATTACTAAAAACGATAAAGTTTTTCTCTCTCGCTATTTTGTTTGGCCAGCTTTGCATTGAAATAATCCTGTAAGAATTCAAACAAATCCTCCACAACTTGATCAACGTGTTTTTCTTAACAATCGTAGCGCAAATCCTTTTGAAATATAAAACGCATAGCTGCGCATGAACCCCAGATATTTACTGTACTTTTCTGACACATTTCTTACAACAGCTGCCAAGAAATCCTACCATAAAAAAAGTGAAAAGAGGATTAAGAAAGGACTGTTGTAGTTTCAATTCGTCTACCTTACTGGTGTTCATTTGGGGACAAACAACCGTATTATCAAGATAAAAGTGTGTCGAGGAGGACGTACAAAAGACATATATATATATAAAACATTTGTACATTGCGCATTTGCGTCCGTATGCATATAATCACAATGAAATATGTGACTATAATAGCTACAGATATCTATGGAATTTTAGCAAAAATAACTTGCAACACATTTTTTAAAATAAAAATCCTGAAAGGTATTCAAAACGCAATTCAATGGAACAAGTCGTATCTGTTGCATTTTTATGCTCCGTATAAATTATGTTAGAAAAAGTAACTACACTTAGCAATACTGGGTTACCCGTGTATGTTTGCATAGTCTCTTATTTGTAGTTTGCAATATACTGTAAAACCATGATTCCCATTTTATCGAGGGTGCCCTTCAATTTAGACCTGTCCCCAATTAGCAAAGAGTACAGTGGTTCAAAGGTAGCATCTTGACAGTAAGGAAACAGCATCAACAGTGACTGGTTGTCATTAAGGTACTCCATTAAAGATGAATAAAGTATTAAGTAGATATGAGTAAGAGTGCATGATGACGAAAATAAAACATTTTGTCGCCACCTAGTGGTTTTGTTTGTCGTTCATTTTATTGAAATAATGTTTATGTGGTAGCGTTAACGTTAGACGTATGCTGTTCTGCAGGTTTTGCTCCCCGGTTACTGAAACTGTGTAAACGTAAAAAAAAATAAAACCTCACAAGACAATTTACCATTTAGATATTTTTAATGTTTTTATTCAATAAAAGTAGTTTTTGAGGGTGTATGGTGGCTAGATGTACTGTATATCTTTGCTGCATCACAGCATCTTGGGACAAGGGTTCAGTTATACTATAGTCTGGTGTATCTTCTAAGTGGCATTTGCATGTTTTTTTTTCTTGCGTTCTTCTGTGCTCTGGGCGCTCTTTTTTTCCAAACTCCAAAAGATAATTGATGTCTTCAAAATGTCTTTGTGCCCTGCAATGGACTGGCATCTCATCCTGCTATGTACACTATGCTTCTGAGACAGGTTTTGGGTTGTTGTGTGACCCCTATCAGATATAGGAAGCTTGCTGACAGTAGATGGATGAATGTAGTTTTGGAAATTAGCAGAGATTATCTGGTGTTTGAAAGTGTGGAGCAAATTGTACACTTGAGCAAAAGGTTTTGGAAATCTTCCTGTTCATGTCCTATTTATTTTGTTTTTATCCAAAACATAATTTTTGAGATAGAAAACATTTTGGCTCCACAGTGTCAGAGGAGCTGTTGAATTCAAGCATGTAGTGTATTAGAGATTATGTTAAAATGATTAATACAATAATGATATTTGTTCAAATTCAAATACGAAGAGTTGCACCCAGTTTATGAATGTCACAAAACCCCAGCCCTGTAAATGTTAGTCTCTTTCCTGGTTTACAATGTTTGAAGGCAACAACTGTAAAATTGTAAAATTACAAGGAGCCTATGAATAAGTAACAGGTTTATGCAGGCTTCACATTCAAGTTTCATGATGTTTTGCAAACATAAACAGAGGGTGGAAAAAATAATGGAAATGCATTTAATCTAATGTACTGTCTACCAATTCAGGATTTATATCATATGATTCAAAAAGAGCACATATAAGGAAATAATACTTTTAGGAATGCAGCATATTATTAGTGGTTATGTTCATGTATTTTCTCAATGTCAGAACAAATTTTCAATAAAAAAACTATTATAGCTTAATTTGTATTTAACTCTGCCCGGGTACCACATTTGTAGCTGTAATTTCTCTGAATTATCTATTGCTGGGTATTAAAGTTAAATATCGTGAATTTAAAAAAACAAACTGATATTGTACTTTTTCCTATCAAATGTAGTCACAGATTTCTTAATAGGGGGAATAAGATAAAAACTGGAATTCAGGAACTACGATTACTGATGGACCTGATTCCAGGAAGATGTCAATTTAACTTTAAATGAATGATTAGAAGTGTATTTATCATATGATACACATATTTGCACACACAAAAATTGAATACTGCATTGCATTTATAACAAACTGAAAGTTTGATGACTTCTAAATTCACATTGAAGAAACAAGGACTTTGGATGTTTGCATTTGGACTTTTAAATCTTTTATACAATCCATTCAATAACTGTTTTTTTTCTTCATTTTTTCTGCTTCATCATACAGGTTTACTTTAATAGCAGGCACTGGAAATTCCCAATCAAAGAAGTTACTTATAGTGCATTATACAGCTTGAAAAACAATGTAGATAGATGTTTATTATCATTGTAATTATTTTTATGATTTTTTCATTGTTTGAACTATACTTTTCAAAAGAACTGAGGGTGAGGATGAAGGAATGACTTCAGAAAAGATATATTTACTGCATAGGCTTTAGTATATTGAAAACATTTACATATTGCACTGTTTCTCGCGAAATACCATATGAATATGGTAAATAACCATATATAAAGAATTAAAAGAGGGAATTTCAGAGGAGATGCAAAATAATGTCAACATGCAAGTCATTACATTTTGGATTTTGCAGGAATTACAGGTGACATAAACTACTAATATTTACACTGCCTTTATGAAAAGTGTACTTACATTTACATGTATGTTGTGATAATGATTATTCCAAGAGTGTGAATATTATAAATAATTTGAAACACATAAGAAAATAAAGTACAACTCAGATATATCATGTATATACTGTATATTCTATATTGTTAATCATATGAAACAGAACAAAAAGCACCAGTATTGAAATCTGAGTCTGGCTATTAATATTACCATCTTATTCTAAACCATCAACTGTAACTGAACCACAGTGCCTGATTTATCAACTGTAGGAAAACTTCTCATGTAAATAATTTATTGTGGGATGAACAGTTTGCCTAGTGGTTAATAAAGACCTTCTCTTTACGTAATTACCAGTAATATTGGTAATATTTAATATATATAAGTTAATTCCGTGTCTGCAAAAATGTTTTCTTGTTTTAAACTTTTCTGAGTACTTCAAAAAGTGAAGCAACTGAATGCATGCGGTAAAAAAGGCTCATTGGCATGGCAAAGTTGAGGATTGTAGTCCATGTTGTGACACCAAATGTTTCTTCTTCCAAGCCATTATCATATTGTGGGCGACACCCAAATGCTGGCAATATCCAGAGCTTTAAAAGAAGGAAAGAACAAAAACATTAGAGTGCAGAACTTTAGTTAACAAGGCAGATTAATTCAAATATTCACAAATACAAGAGAAAACATTTCATTCTCTGAAAAACTATCAATCTCCTTTTATTTATTGAATTTGGGTGGCATGGTGGCACAGTGGTTAGCACTGCAGCCTTGCAGTGCTGGGGTTCAATTCCTAGGGTGCTATTTGCATGGAGTTTATATGTTCTCCCCGTGTTTGCGCAGGTTTCCTCGGGTGATCCAGTTTCCTCCCACAATCTAAAAACATACTTGTAGAACTGGGAGGTTAATTGGCTTCTGGGAAAACTGGCTTGGTGTGAGTGTGTGCATGGTTGTGTCTGTGTGTGCCCTGTGATGGACTTTTTGTCTCTCTCACATATGTTGCGCCTGAGGTTGGAACTGGTGGATGTCCTTCTAGGTGCAATCTCTCATTATGGGATGCTGTTATGTAATGGAGGAATTTGCCTGTGCACGCATTGTGTTTTGTTTTATGTATTATGATCAGTCCTGCCACCAGAACAGCATCATCGAGTAACTTCAAGTTTCAAATTTCTACTTAAAAATTGTGGAGCTGTTTTCTTCTGCTGTGTTGTGCTAAACTCACAGTGGTACCTGCCAAACTCAAATAAAAGCATTGTTTTGGAAACTGCAAAAACACACAGCTAGCTATTCATGCACTTCATATAATTTCGCTGTAAAGAATTAGGAGCATGCAGGTTAAATGATTTTCTTTTTTGCTGAATCATAATAAAAACATGCCTTGTATCCTTCTAGTTTATTGTAATAATCTTAAAACCTGTCTTATGTTAGTATTGAAATATACCAGCTTCTTCTGTAAAAATCCAGTTTGAAAAACACGTGATCTTACCGAAATGTTGCACAGGAACAGAAACACGGCAATGTTCTTCAGAGCTTTTCTCCTCTTGTTTAGTTTTGCAGACCTTCTCTTTGGTGCTGAAATTGAAACTTCTGGGAGCCTTCTTGGATAGCTGTATACTTGTCTATTACCTTCTTGATCATTTTCCAGAGAGGCACACACTTTATCTTGATCCTCAAATGCTCTGTTGATTATACCATTGTAGGGTGGAGCCAGAGAGAGATTGCTGCTACCTGTCACTGATAAAACCTCTGCTCTTGTCTCAGTCTGATCCTTCTCACTCACGCTCTGTTTTCGGTAAAGGGATTCAATAATGAAGAGGTTCTGAATGTATTTCTCTAATATGACTAGCAAAGAGTACGTAAAGTTTGTCCATCTGTATTTAGGAAAACTCTCAGCAGAGATCACTGCAATGATACTGCACCAGGAAATGAGCCATGAGCCAATGGAAGAGCCAAACAGCAAGTCAGTATCCAGCTTCCTGGATGGGTTCTTAGAGTAGTCCAGTGGTAAGTTATCACTTCGAAAGATAAGTAGGCCAATGCTCCCAGCTGCACACATGAAAATCAGCATGACAATTCCATACCAATAAAACATGGCTATTGCTAATTCCCTGGTCTCTACTGAGTCTTCTATGTGCATTATATATATAACTAGGACAGCTATTGTACTAGCAAATGCAATTAGTCCCAGGATCGGGCCTATGACAAGGTCAGTTGTCCTTATTACACCTTTATGATTTCTTTGGTAGTCAATAGTTCTCCCAATATTCTTCCACATGACAAAAAGCATGACAGAGACAAAAATGTGATACTCGATGTTAAATGGGAAAAGGTAGTAAAGGGTGTTGGAGAATGTGGAGCAGGCATTTGTAGTACAGTTGCACTGAGGATCATCATCTTTGTCTGAGCAGAAAAAAGAAAAAATAATAAAGAATAAATCATGCATATTGAAATCTCTTACTGCTATCCAAGTTTAAACACAATACATTCATGGTTGGAATGTTATGTCATTCGTACATGGCAAAATAGATTCTTAACATAAAATAATAACACACTGACTTATCTTCAAATATAAATGCTTAATAATGTGGATTACAAATCAAACTATTTTCTAGGTCCAGATTTTGAGATTTAATTCGAAGAAAACATTTTAATCATGATTAATGTGAGGGAATATATTTGTTTTAATAAACATAAGCTGGAATATAATCATTCAGAAAAAAACTCAAAATCCCTTTATTTTCTTTTGCTTTTTAGTTCTCCCTTTACCTCTGAAGTTGCATTAAGTTTTGTTCTTTATTTTCAGTCTCCACTTTACACTGTGGAACTTGGGACTTCACTAACATTCCCATGGAAACTAACAGCTCAGCTCAAGTGTGACTCTTTTGTTCTTTGAGTATAACTAAACTATAAAGAGAGAAAATGTAAGTCTAGTCAAAAAAAATAATACAGGAATCCTTTGATAAGGCTAAATGTTATGTCTGAGCAGTTGAATGATTGGTAATGACAATAAATCTCTGTCTCCAAAACATCAAAGTCTATGTGTTGCTTGAGTAGAGCTCTGCAACACAGAGTTTAATTAAACAAAATCATGAACAAAGAAGCATTTAACACTTATAAATTTGTGAAACGACTGTAATAACTTGCTGTTAAAGCAATACAAATCTAAATATAGAAAACCTAAATAAATCAACATAATTTCAGCAATAATTTTGCTTTTAAAAAATCTAGGAAAAGTGGCCTGAGGTGGCCTTCATATGAATGTATTATTATTATTATTATTATTATTATTATTATTATTTTCATCACTGCTGTTGTTGCTGCCACTGTTGCGATTGTTTTTGTTTTAATAATAACCTACTGTATAGAAGACATCTTAGTAAGAGTATTTTTTCTGTCAAACAATCAAGCTGAAAAAATAAATGTTTAATTTCACCACAGGACCTCTAACAGGTCTTCATTTAGATTAGGCAATGCAATGTGCCAAAGAGCTCTGTAAAACATGTACCATGAGTAACAGTAAGTCTGGGTCTCCCACCTAGTTTCATTTAGTGCTTTGATGTTAAACACATGGGTTAGCCAAAGTCATGTGAATTACTGTGCATTTGTAATTTTTTACATGTAATTATTTGATTCTTACCTAATGTGCCATTTACATAGCCAAGCGATGACAATCTTCTTTTGTGCTCATTTAAAAAATGTTCAGCTTCAGACATCACTCCGTTACACCATAAAAGTAGATTTGTAAAGACTGCATGAATTACTCCAAACCTATGAGACAAATTTCTTATTTTTAGAATACAAAGATGTTCGCCTGTATACTTTAAATGTATGCAAATTTAAGCCAATTATAAATTTTAGTAAAATTGAATGAAAAAGAATACACCAGGTTAGATAGTATGAGTCATTTTAATTAATTTCTTAATAAAAAAACAAATATAAATAACACTTCATTATTCTCATCAATCATGCTACAGTATGTACACTTTTGCAAGTATTTTAACATGATATGAAATTATTTATGCAATTAAATTAAATACTAATAATTAATAATAATTACTATAGTAATGGCACTAAAATATTTTTCAAAATTGCATAAACAGAGTATATTGTTATAGTTCATGTACCTTTCAAAGGTCTCAGATGTCTTGATCACATCCTTAATATGAAACCAAAGGAAATGTACCTAATACAGGACAAATTAGACATCTTAATGATAAACTAAATACAAACTGTAGGTACAAAATGTCTCTTGTGCTTAAAGTAAAATGACAATGAATTAATTTATGGAGAAAATAGAACAACTAATTAAAGTGTATATATAGATCCACTTGACAGTCGGATCAAGTATAAAAGAATGGGTACTTCTCATGTGTCATACTTAAACCATTGATTTAAGAGGTTATTTCCTAGCTGTGCCTGTGGGATTTTGAAAGTACAAGGTTGAACGTGCACAATGGTAATGAGCAAAGTGTCTGTCCAGAGAACAAAGCCATATTATTCCTAAGGAGGACAACCCTGATCCTTTTACAAAATACAGAAAAAATGCATCAGTTGGAAAGTATTACAAAATAAACCTGATACATTTATAAAAGTGACTGGTTTTTTGTCTTGACACACCTCAAATTATAAACACTGTCTTACCTGTGAAATTGTATGAACAGCATGAATTACAGGGTAAACACCCACAGCTGCTGATAAACAAGCTTTATATCCAACAAAATGTCCAATTCGGAAAGCATCCATAATTAGCGAGATCAAAGCAAGTAAAGTTAGCCCTCCTAAAAAGAAAAAGAAAATATATTCCTATTTTTATTGTCAATTTTTCAAAAGGGTGGGGTAGTCTTGTTTAAAAATAAACCAATCTAAAATGCTAAGACCGAGATTTTTATGCAATTTTGTATCAACTTAGATATATATAACTTGTTTGATGCGTGCGTTTTTATTAGTTACTACTACAGTATTTGCGTTATCTTTCACACCATAATTAAACAGAACATTTAAAAATAGACAATTTCCCATAATTATATGGTAATATAAGTAGAAATCAAAAGTTTTTTGTCACTTAAGATGAGGTTAAACATATATACTGTCTGTATAGCAAATTAGCATATCAATGACAGTACTACGGAAGTTTTCAAATCAGATTAACTAAACATTAATAGAGATTAATGATTCATTAATGAAATATGTTTATATTATTAAATGACATACTGTAAACATAATTCGCTATTAATCGATTAAATGCAATTAAATCTAATAGATCTAATTCTGCCTAATGGAGCGCAATGAAGTTATTCTACCTCTTAACCAGCTTGTCCCCGCTTGTACATCCTTCTCCAAGACTGGGCTGTTTTGGCTGTCTTTTCTGATGACATACCAGAGCATCCACATGAGTTGCAGGACCATGAGAGTGATGAGAAAAGACAAGAGGTGCTCTTCTTTGACAGAGCTGCCACGGTGCGATAACGAGAACATCAAGGATACACCGACCAAGAGCAAATTGACTCCGTACTGGCCGCTTATGATTTCTGCGTTTTTCTGGGGGTAGTCATTTGTAAAACTTGTTTTGAAATTCCTGAATATTTTCTTTTCTTTGCCCAGGGTAGGTGCAGCAGAATTATGACAATTCCTGTTGAGGCACGTAATATCCAGCCCACCGTGTTCCACCATGGCACCCAATTCTAGAGGCTCCAAATTCTTGAAAAAAAAAAGAATATTAGTAAAATCTAGTTTATATGCATTTGTTAACGCCAAATCGGAAGTTTTGTATTTTTGTAATTAAGACGAAGGAAAAGAAAAAGAAAACCGAAAGACTCGCATGTTAAATTAGGTTCTTTTCCCAAACAAGAACTAATAGATTAGTTATAGTTGGCTTGTTTCATTTACTTGAAAGCGTATTAAGCGGTCTAGGTTTATAATGATTGGAAAAATCAACCTTTTGTGATTGAGGAAATATTTGACTAAAATTACTTCATACCCCTTCTTTTATACCTTGTTTGCTGAGTCACTGAGATTATGCAGAATAGATAGAATTTCAGTTACCAGTTGCTTCAGTCCGCATCATTGAACTTGTCACAAGTTTTTTTTTCCAGAATCGATCTGCTGTTAGAGGCAATCTTTGATTTAGTCCACACTGTTTCTTTACACAACCATGATGCTTCGAGTCATTACAAAATACGTGATATTCAAATATTCACCTTCTGACTGTGAAATCAAATTCGAATTTTGATAAAGGTACAGTGTCCCTTTAAGGTTTTTCTACTCCAAATAAAATCCTATGAACTAATATTTTATCGGAGATTGTTCAGCTGGATGGTTAAAATTTCCTTTAGAGAGGTTTGAAAGCTTCTTCTTCAAATAATGGTAACTCGTCCATCCTTCTGATGAAATACGTTGAGAACAATCGCAGAAAACGTTTCCGTTTTACTCTCAACTTGTTATAATGTATCTACAGTGCATTTTCGGGATGTAGCACTGAAAAACCAGAAAGAAACATCCAAAATGCTTCCAGAGAGTCTCCCACTATTTCGGTTTTTCTTATACTGTACGTAACCCTTTACTACCTTTTCTCCCATGGTAAGGACGTAACCATTTCCTAAATACAGAATCGGGTTACAAAGTTAAAATCTACAATGGTTCTTTATGTTTCCGTCTTTGCAAAATTACACGACACCTTTGATGTGTTCAGCATTTGCTGAGTCATATGTATCTCATTTTTTTATTTTAATTAAAGTCTCCTTGCAAGGTTTAATAGAATATTAGCTCGGAATAAGTGAACAAGAAGAAAATCCTTAAACAATAGTTGGACTGCTGACAAGGCAGAAACATTCTGGTAATCGGAGACAGTATACAGAGCTTGTTTTAAGAAAGGAGCTACTGAAGTATATATTTATTTTCAATATTTTGTCTTTACCGGAGACTCATCGGTATACGTGTCTGTTCAACATTGGAGAAATTAGCTGGATTAAACATTTTCAGTAGATATTACTATTATTTACATTTGGTTATGGACGCTCAATTAAAATTCTGCCATATACTCGACCTTATCCCAGAATTCTTAACTCCTCATTACAGCTTCATTAGCTTAATTCCTGTTTAGGTATAAAAAACATAGGATTAAAGTTTGTTAGATTGCTTTAAAATACTCAGACTAAAATGTTTTAATCTGTCGCAGCAACTTCACCGCTTTTAAACAACAATAACTTTAACACAGCCATCACATAAAAGGAAGACAAATACGTACCACACCAATAATAATAAACTCGTACTTGTGCATACAATATACTATATATACAAGAATGCACAGCAGCCTCAAAATATCTTTATAACATTGATGAACAGAAACGATTTAGCATGATGCAAATAAAAATGAATAGATTCTGGTATTAACAATATTAAACTAGAGCAAACAGAAAAACTTTTAAAATTGCTGAAAATATTATTTTGATTCTTGTAGTCTTTTAAAGAATTTATTAAAACCCCATGAGGGATAGTAGACCACTCCCCCTGTCCAGTGGAGAATAAATTCAGAACTGATTTTCTCAGATTTACATGATGTCAAAGAAACTGTGATGACAACTCAATAACTCTTATTTTGATGCCCTCTTAATCATTTGGTCATTAAATGTGAGGCAGGCTTGGTATTTGCAGTGCCATGTTTTGGCTAAAACAACCTGACAACAAGAAGATTAATTTCTCTTCTTTGCATAACAAAGGACATTCTTTTAAAATATGAACTGCTCTTTTTTGTGATAATCATGTCAGGTGAGACTGCCCAAAAATGCAAATTGTGTTTCATCCATCTTTCTCCATTTTACCATTGTATCTTGATGGTGTCAAGAGTTTTCTGAAGATTTTCAGGGCTGCACTTCGGTGTAAGCATTCCAAACCACATTTCTGACCACACGTTACTTTATTTTTATTTTTCCATTAACCTTGAATGTTTTATGATGGATAATACAGAAAACAGAGATGTCTTATGGAGTTTTTTGCTGGTGTCACTATAGTTGTTGAAGTAACTAATCCTTTAACCTAGATTTAGGTACAATTCTCTTGGCTTTCCTCATGATAACATGGTATTGTTTTGCTTTGTGCTCAGTCTCCTTTAATACCCATGGGCAAGGAAGCTGACTCCCAAAAGATTCCCTTAAAAGGTTTATAGAAGGTGAAACTAGGTGAAACTAACACGTGACTGAAAACATTACCGTATCTATAGCATTTATTTTTAGTATATTTAAGGCATGAAAAAGAAGCAGTGCTTACAGGAAAATATGTAATTATTTTTTACTGTTATTGACACTTTTACTAGGTTATTGACATTTGGTACTATCAAGATTGTATACCAATTCCTAAATATATTATAGGGATACCTGCATTTTCTTTGATAAACCATTTTTGTGACTGCTCAAATAAAGTGTGAATAAATATAATGCTTTCTTTAGAATTGAGAATTAAACGATTATATAATGGGGAAATAAATTGTGTCTCTATCAATTATTGAAAAGAGTTACCAAAATGCTAAAATAAGAATTGCAAACCGTTATGCAAGGAGACGAAACGGGAATAAACCACATGTACTGAACGGAGTTTTTATCTAAGGATTGGCCGTGCCAAGACAGAGCTATGAGTTGTGATGCATTAGTTCCCTTGCTCATCCATCAATCTTCTAACTGCTTTATCCAGTACAAGGCTATAGGGGACACTGGAGGCCAAGGCAAGGTAAATCCTGGATTGTATGCCAGCTCATCACAGGGCACACACAGATACAAACACACACTCACAATAAGGCCAGCTTTCCCAGAAAACAATTAAACTACCAGTATATCACATACTATATACCAGTATATCATTATGCAACTCCTGGGAGTGGGAGCAGTGCTCAGTTACCAGTACATTCTGCTGGGGCTGGCACCAACTGGATTGGACGCAGTTCCTACTCTGGCTACTGCTGTACCTTACAAAAAAAACACCTGTGGGATGCGAGGAACACTCTCACCTGGCACAACAGAGTGGGGAGCGAGGGAGCTGGAGGAGAGGATCCTGGTGGACCTCAGAAGGAGGATGAAGCACGACGTCCCCAAATGCGGTTTCCTCACGGCGAGGGAGTGCTGGAAAGGACTTTTGGCCCTGTACAGGGACTAATGGACAAAAGCAAGTCGTAGGGCTTGTAGGGACTCATTAATTGTGAAGTCCGGCCCCGTTATCCACTTGCACAGTTCGATAACGGACAAGCACCGCTGTTCGGAGTGTTTTTTTATTGCATGTGATGTTTATTATTTGTGAGAATGTTTCCTTTTTTTTAGATGTTGTTACAGAAATAAAGTATATTTTGTAAAAAAAAATATATCTTTGGACTTTGAGAGAAACCTGGAACCCCAAAAAGAAACCCATGAGAACATGTGGAGAACATCCAAACTCAAGACACACAGATAGCACCCCAGGAACTGAACTCAGGGCCCTAGGGCAGCAAGGCAGCAATGCTAACTACTGTGCTACCTTACAGTACCTATCTTTGTGTGGGAAGCAAATCACCTCGTCAATTTATGTGAGAGTTTTCTCAACATGAGCTTCCCCTTGTCTACATCAAACAAGGTGATGTAATTATAAAGGTAACACAGGACCACTAAATATTAATCTTAATCTTAATTTATAACAATGACTTTTGAATTTATTATAATTAGTAAACTACCCAAATTTGCAGATGATGTTAGTAGGACATGGAAAGACAAGCAAATACTACTGAAGTAACAAATTAAATTCAAAAAGATTTACATTAAATTCAAGACTGAGCAAACAGATAGTAGATGCTAGATACTGTATTTAATGTGGACAATATTAGTATAATATAGTATTAATAAGAGTAATGATCATAATATTACTAATACTATTGCTCCTTTTGCACTAACAAACCGGAAAAAAAACTTAAGTTTCTGTTTACAGGTCATTTACAATGTGGGGAAACAGAGGCAAATAAAATGTTAGGATATACTGTATAGTTAAAAGTGCAGAATTTAAAATAAAGAGATATTATGCTAAAACTATGTAACATACTGTACTATTAAGGCAGGGTGGCACAGTTGTTACTATTGATGCCTTGCAGAACTGATGTGCTGGATTCGATTCCACACCAGGGATGCTAGCTGCATGGAGCTTGTACAATAGCTCTCTCTGTGTTCCTGTGGGTTTCTTCTTCTAGGTGCTCGTTTCCTCTAACTAAAAGGGCAGCCGTCAGTCCTTAAGATCTCAAAACCCGACAGCTAAGCTCTTCCCTAATTAAATACAGTTAGAAGAAAAAGTTTGTGAACCCTTTGAAATTACCTGGATTTCTGCATTAATTAGTCAGAAAAATGTGGTCTGATTTTCAACTAAGTCCCAATAATAGACAAACACAATCTGCTTAAACTAATAACACACAAACAATTGTACTTCTTCTTGTCAATATTGAACACATTGTTTAAACATTCACAGTCCAGGCTGAAAAAAGTATGTTACCCTTGTATTTAATAACTGGTAGAACCTCCTTTAGCAGCAATAACCTTTCCTGTACCTGCTGATGAGACCTGCACAATGGTTAGGAGGAATTCTAGATCATTCCTACTTACAAAACTGTTTCAGTTCATTGATATTTCTAGGATTCCTTGCATGAACAACTCTCTTCAGGTCATGTCACACCATCTCAATTGGGTTGAGGTCTGGACTCTGACTTCCAGAACACAAATTCTCTTCAGTTTAAGCCATTCTGTTGTTGATTTACTCCTGTGTTTTGGGTCATTGTCTTGTTGCATCCCCCAACTTTTATTAAGCTTCAGGTGATGGAATGCTACCCTGACATTCTCCTGTAAAACTTCTTGATACAATTTTGAATTCATTGTTCCCTCTATGATAGCAAGCAGCCCCTGCACCACGCTCCATGGTTGGGATGAGCTTTTGTTGTTGGTGTGTAGTGCTTTTTTCCCTCCAAACATAGCATTGCCTGTTTCTGCCAAAGAGTTCAACTTTTGTCTCATCCATCCACAGAACATTGTTCCAGAAGCATTGTGGAACATCCAGGTGGTCTTTTACAAACTTGAGGTGTGCAGCAATGTTTTCTTTTTGGAGAGCAGTGGTTTCCTTCATGGTGTCCCTTCCATTAACACCATTCCTGTTCAGTGTTTTTCTTATAGTGGACACATGAACAGAGACTTTGGCAAGTTCAAGAGTTTTCTGAAGGTCCTTTGCTGTTACCTTAGGGTTCTTTTTCACCTCCTTCAACATTGCGCTCTTGCCATGGTCTTTGCAGGACGTCCACTCCTAGGGAGAGTAGGAACAGTACTGAATTTCCTCCATTTGTAGACAATTTGTCTTACTGTGGCTTGATGAACACCCAGGCCTTTAGAAATGCTTTTGCAGCCTTTTCCGGCTTTATGCACCTTTACAATTCTTCTAAGGTCCTCTGATATTTCTTTTGATCAGGGCATGGTTTACATGAACAGCTCTTTCTTGAGAAGAGCAAACTCTGTCAGTAACCAACCTTTGTGCGTCTTTCTTTATAGGGCAGGGCACCTCCAACCTCATCACATTGATTGGAACACCTGACTCCAATTAGCTTTTGGAGAAGTCATTAGCCTAGAGGTTCACATACTTTTTCCAACCTAGACTGTGAATGGTTAAAATGATGTGTTCAGTACTGACAAGAAGAAGTACAATGGTGTGTTGTTAGTTTAAGCAGATTGTGTATGTCTATTATTGTGACCAAATTTATATGAGTAATTAATGCAGAAATCCAGGTAATTCCAAAGGGTTCACAAACTTTTTCTTGCAGCTGTATGTACTCCCTTTCAACTGATGTGTGAGGTAGCCAGATACCTGGCCAGACACCGCACACCAGGGCACCATGGGGGAGCCCAGTTTGTAAAAGAGATCAAGAAAGACAGAAAGCAAATGACCACACACCAAAGACGAACAAGCGTAAACCCAAAGTTACTTTATGAAGCAGCCTGAGGTTTTGTCAACTGAAGAGCTAGATTGTAAAGAAAAATAAATGAGTTCTGTAACAAGAATAATAGTGCTGGATCATATTTTCCTTTGCACATGCTTTCAGCATTGCCAGCCTGTAACAAACACCTTATAGAAAATAATAATTCCTTACACTTATATGGCACTTTTCTGGACACTCCACTCAAAGTGCTTTACAGGCAATGGGGACTTCCCTCCAACATCACAAATGTGCAGCAACCACCTGCAGCCAAAGTGCACACAGAACGCTCACCAAACACCAGCTATCAGTGGGGAGAACAGAGCAATGAAGCCAATTCATAGATGAGGATTATTAGCAGGCCATAATTTGTAAAGGCCAAATGGGAAATATGGGCAGGATGTTGGGATAACACTCTTTTTTGAAAAAACGCCCTGGGATTCTTAATGACCACAGAGAGTTAGGACTTTGGTTTTGTCTCACCTGAAGGATGGCACCTATTTACAGTATAGTGTCCCCATCACTACAAAGGGGCATTAAGACCCACACAGACCGCAGGATGGACAACCCTTACTGGTCCTACTAAAATATCTTCCTTAGCTTTCCCAGGTACTTGCCAGGCTGATTAGCTTCACTGAGTTGCCAGTTGTGAGTTGTAGGGTTATATAACTGCTGGCTATAGAAGATATTGCTGCTTTGTAATCAGTCCATAGAATAGCAACCAGATGCATTTGGGGGTTTAAGGGAAAGTGCTACACTGACAAGCTAAAGGAACAGAACCTTTTTAGTCATGAAAAGAGTAGATTACGGAGGGACCTGATCCAAGTATTGAAAACCCTCAAAAGTACTGACAAAATCAATTTTGTGAACTTAATGCATTTCTTCAGAATAAACAGTGAAACAGAAATCAGAAGACAAAAGTGGAAATGTGCATTTAACATTAAAGTGCATTTAAAATCCAGAACAGCACTTGTTTACTTTGAAGGCTGTGGGAGTACAGTATGTCACATGCTGCCCAACCATATTGTTGAATCTGCTACACTGGCTTGATGAGATCCTTGGATTAATTAGCCTTGGTACTAACTACAGCTAGACAGCTAGGCAGACTGAATGACCTCCTCTTAATTGTACCTTTTTATTTTCTTACAATATGACCTGCTTAAATGAGTATAAATGACATGTATCAGACCCATTAACAACTACATTCTGCAATCAATGTGGGGTCAAATTTATAAATTAAATAATGCTTTTTAGTCCAGACAACATAATGATTAAAGAATTCCTTACTTGAATCACTGAATATTTAAGTTATGATAGTAACAGAAACAGATCACAACCAGAAATGAACGGTAAACATTTGCACTTGTATGTCCCACTCTCCTTAGACGACGCATGTGTAATTGAACAACAATCTGATGTCTGATATCTGAATAAGATAAAAGACTCGAATCTTCAAATAGTTACAAATTGCAAAAAATAACAAACTTTATTTTTTGCCACCATGTAAATCAGGGTCAACATTTTAGAAGATAGGATAATTTTTGTAAAAAACACAGAAAAGAAAAAACACATTTGCATCACTGCTTTCCATAACTGTGTTGCCTCTCAATAGACTTACATCACTTAGAGTACATTTGGCTCAGATTATCTCTCAATCATTCAATCAAAAGCAGTGTGGATTTAAATAATACAGTGAACAGCTAAGGGCACATCTATAATGCTGCAAGATAGCATGATCTTGATGTGCTATTCTCCTGTGTCGTGGTGTTGAGGAAGGCTGCATTTCAATACATTAGATTCACAGGTTGGGATAATATCCCCTAAATTAAACAAAAGTTCCTGTAGGAATTATACTTCTCAGTTGACATCTTATGAGGTTCTGAGTAGGTATAATTATAATAAAATTTGAAATTGCACATACTGTAAGGCAACATAGGACAACCATTACTTTACTGGAGCAATCTGAATTAATATATACATTAAAATGTAAAATGCACTTTCTTCACAAGTCTTATTAAATAATCTAGAAGCATTTATGCAAGCAATTATTAGAAAATTCCTATATTCAATAAACTGAAACCATTACCCTTATGATTACACAGATCTAGTTCTCTGCCTGGAAAAACGCTACATTTGGTAAGAGTCGGACTCATGTGATTATTACTAACTTTCACTTCTGAGAAGACATGAAATTACGTATGTACTAGAGTCCTATAATTAATTTTCTATGTATTAAAAAAAACTTACACCTTCCCTTATTCCTTCCACGGCAGATGATGACAGTGAACTGCTGGTAAGATTGTAAAGCAGAACTCTCCTGTTTACATCTACAATGGGTCTTTGGAAATCAATGCCACTTCAAAGTGACGTTGCTGGGAGTTCACTGCTATAGATTACTTGGAAGGACAACACCAAAGGACTGACAACTTATTACTAAATAGCTTTTAGTTTTGTTGTGCAATATGACATGTTGTGCAAATGGCTTAGTATAAGGAATCATTTGGAAGAAAGGCAGTGCTTAAAAATGTTTTTAAAAAAACACTCAATCACATGCACTATAGCCATACAAAAACACACAGGAGACTTTTGATAATTTTAAACATCTAATGAAACTAAATACTGATACTGTTTACATAGTTAAAAGATTTTTTTTAATACTACAGTACCAGAACCTCAAAGAACACACCACGACATGGCATTCTGCACATATATTGTAGCAGTTACACAATCTTTCAATACAAAAGTACCATTAATCATAATTATCTAAAGACTGGAAAATACACCCCACCCTATGAACTTATTACCTTGACTTTTTCAGTAAATAAGCCTATTATTTTCAAACCTATTTGTACTTTATAATATGTGGAAGAAAAGCTGCACTGACAATAACAAATGGTACACCAGGTGTACCAAAGCTTGTTGGAGTGACTGAAAAGATGCCCAAATGTTTATTTTGTAATAACTTACATGACGATACCTATCACAACCACTATACATCCAGCAACTAAGAATATCAGTGGCTTAAAGCAATACAGGGAAGATCTACATAAAAAAATACCTGGGTTGATATTGATAAAATAATAATTTAATTATTGTTTGCAGATTTTGTCTACAACTATACAAACTATATTTCCAGAAATGGCAAAGAATGTGATTCACCATAGAAGATAAAACCCCTAATTATGATCCCTTTACTCTAATTCCAAATATATTTCCTAAGCAAAAATGCAGTGAAACTATATTTGCCTATGGTTATTTAATTGACTTTTTAACATCTGTATTTTGATTTTCAGCTATGTTTACTGTTTAAATTGAAAGTAAATGAAAATAAATAAATAAAAATAAAGGAAAGTAAAACAACGTAAAACCCAAATGTTCTCTCTCCATTTCCTCAATGTTAATGTTACCTCGATATTAATAAAAAAACACTTTTAAGGTGCTACAAAGGAAGAAAGTTTTGCAACTGGACAAACTCTTTATAGTCCTGCCATCTTTGTTTTAGTGTACTTATTTTTTTAATGTAACATGAATTTCCATGCTTGATTCAGCAACAAATCTTACACAAAATATCAGGTTAAGCAACAAAGCAATGCCTCCTACTCCTTTCCCTACTGGCAAACATTACACTACTAGTATGGTATTGCTTTTTAAGTGTTGGTTATGGAAACAAAGCGTGCAAGACTATGAACTATAGCAGGGAGCAGCCCTAAAGGATTAATCAGGGATTATAATTAAAAGGGCATAAATAAAAACACCGGCAAAAACCTTGATTTCATAACCTTACAATATAAATTATACACAATGACTCAGAAAAAAACAACTCATAAAAACCACAATGACGGCACTTCGTAACAAATGTGAACGGTATTGCATAATATGTACAGACAAATTACCTCAAATAGACTGTACCTTTAGGAATATATTTTCTCCATTCTTCTTTCACATGTTTTTAAATCATGTGTTCCTGTACAGGTATTCCACATTAGTGCTACTTAAAACTGTCATGATGGTGCCATCACCATCTTACAAATAAGTGTTGCACAAAATTCAAGGTAAAACCTTAATGAAAACTAATGCCAAAGAGAATTACATTTTGAATGACTGGACAAAAGTTCCAAAGTGTTCCTAAGGTAGTATTTAAAGGGATTTAAAACACTGGTAGTTTACAGCAATTATTACTAAATAATGAACACAGAACATAAAGAACAGGCATACAACAGAGAAAGTTCCCATCTGACTATTCTAACAGCAGCATCAAAGCAATTATCTTCAACAACAAAGGAGGTTGATTGCAAAGAATCTTTGAAAGGGATCAACCAATGCTGTCTAACATAAACTTTTTAAAAATGTACAAGTCATGCATTACATGATCAGTGGAACTGTAATTAACATTTTAAAATAGAAGCATCCAATTCCAATGTTGTAGCTTTAATGGGTTTATTAGGTGGATCTTAGCTAAAGACACTCATTTTATTCTTTTAGGATCTGGAGTGTTTTGAAGCTTTTCAAAGGAAGGAAATTCAAACACAAAGCAAACAGACTTCATGAAATTAATTATAAAAATACTAAAAATCATACAGCAAAACAAAATATCTCAAAATGCCTTTAAGACAATAGATTACTGAATGTGAAAAGGTAATTTCTACAGTAATTCGGTAAACTTTTGTAGGATTACAGAAATATTTCTCTTTCATTTCAGTTTGGGAACACATCTCTACCCCTAACTGAATGGAAAATAAATGTAATTCAGCAAAAAAAATATATATATATATGTGTATTCAGTAGTTGTTGCATATATGATAAACTGATATAGGAAAACATAGAACAACATTTAACATTAAGTAAAATCTTGTAGTTTTACTAAATATTACTAAAATATTGTAGAAAAGTCACATTCGGACTCACAGGAGGCCGAGTACAAGGCTAATGCGATATGGATAGCGCTATCCAAGGAGAATGCAAGATTATACAAACTGTCAGAATAGTGACAACACTTGGAAATCTTCTAAAAAATAACACATAAGGATACAACACTGATAAAGAGTACAATTCTTGATAGGTCTCATGGAACTGGTGACTATAGCAGATCGTCATGAGGACAGGTTAATTGGAACCACAATGTATTTGGAAGAAACATAAATTGGATGACCAGACAGCCTCACTACCGATATGATTAGCACAGAAAGTAAATGAGCCAATCGTATAAAAATGTATTGTGTCTATGAAGTATGTAGATGGGTCTGTTTTGCTTCTTCAGTTTGTGGTTTCTTTCTTAGAATAGAGGCATGGATGGATTCCAGTGCATATCAGGACTCATTATATAAAAAACTTTTCCTGTGCTAAGAAGCTCAAATGTGGTCACACATGAACCTTGCAGCAAGATAAAAACAAAACAACACATCCAAATTAAATACCAATTGGTTTAGGGAACATAAAGTCAATGTACATACACTCCACATCATAAAGATCTGAATTTAATAAAATATTTGTGTAATTAAAACAATTCACAAACACAAGCGATACAATCCAGAGGAACTGGAGCCTTCTTTAAGTTGTCAAAGCTAAATGAGGATCAGTAAAATACTTATTGCTGGGCTGTGCTTAATTTTGAGTGTTGAATATTTAGAAAATGAAATATTTTGGAAAAATTGGCTTTTTCAGTATCCAAAACAATCTTACACATTTTCACATTTTATATAAAGTATATATGCAACAAATCTTGAATGTAAGCTATCTTACAGTATCATTGATATGTATATGGACTCAACTGATGAATTTCACATGATCAACAAATTTGAATAACAGAATAACAAATGTATTTTATAAAGAAACTTGTTTATAATACATATAGCATACATACCATAAGGTAAGAAAATAATTGTTAATGTTATCTAAAAAAATCTTAGCTTTTTTGAAAAAAATAAAAAAACACCTTTCCCCCAAAATTTAATTTCTGATGTCTGTCCACCACATTCCACTTGACCCACGCAGATGTGTATGAGAATAAGTTGAGTGCTGAGAATAAAAAACATAAAAATAAAATTGTCATTTAAACACGGAGTTAGAAATCACACAACAGACAAGAAAACAATGATTAATCACCAGGCATAGTTTAATTTGTGATTAAAACTATCAACCTATTGAACTAATCCTTAATCTGTTGTGATTAAAACTATCAACCTATTGAACTAATCCTTAATCTGTATTCTTACTGGATACTTTTACAAATAAGGCAGATTTAATATAAACTTTCAATACTTATTAATAACTAGAATAAGAACAGAATCAAAAAGCAGAAAAAGCTGGTCACTCAGTGGTGTTTCAGAGCTTTATATGTTTCTTTATAACAAATGTTGTTTTTGTTGCTAAATAAAATGGAGAATGAAACAAGAATCAGAAATTAAACTTCTCCTTTTTCTTTTCCTGAAAAGTTAAACAAATAACACCAATTTTAATAAGAAGGTTATGGAGTGCATTCAAATATTAAAATAAAACATAAAATCGCTAATACAATGCAAACATGTTTACATTAGTTATTTTATGGTTTAGTATGTCGCTACCAGTCATTAACTGCTTAATAAGCATCACTGACAATGCTAAAGAGAAAATTCTACTGATTTGACACTTCTTAAATCACATACAATTTCAAAATATGGAATACATTTTTATATAAAGCACATAAATAGAAGCAAGAAAAAATATAATGATTTAGTTGGTAAGTGTTCAGAGATAGGTATATTAAAAAGTCTACTATATTAATTTATATAAGATGGATACATTACTTGAAATGCATTGATTTTCCACACTTGCAAGGTCTTGCTGAGCATAAAGAATACCCAGCACTAAATACGGGGCCATTCCTCACTTCCTAAATATAATCTTACTGAGATCTGAGACAAAAGTAAACCTGGTGTCTTTGCAATACTTGTTACCAGCCTGCCTGAAAGATGCCAGGCAGTGAGCCATGCATGAGAGAGAGCTATTCTATATCACTCATGTACTGTGCAAATAAGTAACTGGAGATACTGTTAAAAATAATACATATAGTAAGCACAAAAATTTCATTAGGACACTTAATGGAAAGAATAAAGCTCAAAATGTTTAAGTTAGGGAAAGATAATTTTTAAAATGGGCTAAAGAAAATAATAAATAAAGCAATGGGAGAAAGATAATAAAAATGAAATGGCACAGATAAGAATAAATCAAGTAGGTAAATACTTACTTTTCATACAGTATATTACCCAAGAAGGGAGATGAACATCACCACACCCATGAATTGGGTAAAAAGGATTACAGGCGTGAAGAAAGACCAGACAGGCCACAAGGCTATATTAAAACTGCAACGAACAAAAAGTCAACTTTATGAAGTCGAACCGGACAGTACATTGATCAAGAATGCCCTGATTCAATATTATTTAAAATGTTTTTTTTAGAACAAAATACTTCAACATATTAACTTGTGTCTCAAACACTTGAGCATATTAGGTAACACTTAAAATTTTCTATTTCATAATGAGTACGCAACAGTATAACAGAGTAAAAGCCTTTCACTTAATCTACATCTCTAATCCCCAATTGAAACTCACCTGCCTGATGCTGCAATAAATGCAGCAGTTGTAATAGGTGCAATTGCTGGGTATTCTCTGTCATAATCTCGCATTCCACAGAACCATTCCAGGAAAAGTATGCAGAACAAGGCCAGTGCTAAGCATATAGCCAGCAATATGAGGCCAATATTAAACCACCAACTGTAAAGGATTTAACAAAGAAAAAATAGTTTAAAAATATGACTTCTTAAAAAAATATATCAATATAATGTAAAAAGACCATTGTAACAAAACTAAGTCTAGGTCAATTCAAATGACAGGAATAATTCTCTAAATGGTTTGTGGGAGGGAATGAAGCATTAACTCAATAAGGCACTGAAAAATATTTTACTTAAAACAGTAAAAAAGGCCACCAGGAGCAATGTGAGACAGTTACACCTGAATAAACTTTTGTTATATTATACAGCAGAATAATATACAGAAATTTAGAGGTGTAATAGTTCTCCTTTTTAAAACTGACTCTGAAACAGAAAGCATTCAGTACTGTTATCTTTAGTCAGGTTCAATACAATTAGGATATCAGATTTGGAAGAAAATGGAGACTGGACCCTTTCCCATGCTAAAAAGTATAAATAACCAACTACAAGACTTTTCTATTTTTTTAGCTGTAATGTTGTAAAGACTGGATGAGGTTTTTGAAGATTTTAAGAACTGAATACAACTACATTAAGCCCTTTTGCTGGCTCTTCTACCTCACAGAATCATGAATCCAAAAAGCCTTCAGCATTATAGCAGCTCTTATCTTACTCACTGCAAAAACCACTTTCATTTCCAGAAGGTTACTGTTACTGCAGTCTCATTGTAAGTGTTGTTAAGGAAGCTTTAAATGTGACTATCTTCAGAATTTACAGAACTAGATTAGGGTTTTTAAAATGTGCTCTATCAGGAGCTGGATAGCCCCCAACCTAAATCACTTATCTTTATGTAATTTTATCATTCAATCTTCTTGGAATGAGGCCCTTATCATTCCAATTTGTAACTTGTGTGACCATTCCAACCCTCATAATCCAGGTAACTATAAACCTATTGCTGTTTCACCAGAAAAAGTGAATTTGGCACATTAGAAATTTCTCGAATTTCTAATCGTTTTTCACATTTGGCTGCAGAACACTCAGACAGGTAGGGAGTAAAATCTAAAACTGGGTTTGTTTATGCATTTTTTTATAATTTGATTAAATATCTTTTTCTCGCAGATAATTTGCAATCTCAAAATCATCAACACACTAGCAAAAAAGAAAACCTTCTTAACTACACAAGCAGGTACAAAAGGCAGCATGCAAATTTGATATTCGGTACTGAAACTTGGCAGAAAGGAGCTGTAAATTTGGGGTAACACGAGAATAGAGTTCTTTTATTCTGTTACAAAGGGCTCCGTTACAATATAGAGTACTTTTTACTATATCAGGTGATAAGAAATGCTCTTATCCTATATCTGGCCCTTTTATAGCAAAGTTAAATTTATTTGGAAGTAGCCAAAAACAATCATTCTTGTAAGTTTATGTTTTATATGACTAAATATCATTTTAAGATTTAATCTGTATGAGGAAAGTAAGTGCAGACTATTATTTATGCTTAGTACCATATTTTTCTCATATTAAAATTGCTTTAACATTTCATCTTTAAATTTGCATAAGGTGCAGTTTTGCAAGACTTCACAAAATCAAATCTCTGCCGTCTTGAATGGATGCTAGAAGTCATGTCAGTTAGCACTGTTGTCACACAACTCCAGTCCTGTGTTTCATTACAGCCACAGGCATCTATCTATGTGGTGTTTACATGTATTGCTCATTTTCACATGGATTCTACAAGGTGCTCCAATCTCCTCTGAATTTCACAGACACATTCACTAGGCTTGATTGGCTATTTCAGATCTTCCCTAGAGGATCCCAGGTCCACATAAGCCCCACTAGATGAACAAACATGGTATATCTCCTGGTCACATGTATGGTGCAAATCAAATTAATTAAGAAACTATCCTATTAAAGAAAAGATTTGAAAAACAGTGTCAATATAACTACTTAACAACAACAAAATTATCCCTAATATGATAAGAATGTTTTAAAAATCAATCGGTATAACTAACGCTACAACTGTAATAATTTGGTGGAAATGTTTCAAAGCTTATAAAGTTTTGAGATTCCTCCCTAAACTGAGCAAACATATCTGTATACCATACTGAACAGTATTTCTATACTTTCTAATCTAAAAATCAACATTTTAGTAATTTAAAAATGATATTGAAGATTTTTTTATTTCTTGATTTATTACAACATTTGCCATACAGGAACCAGAATGGAAATGATTAACAGATTTTTCCCTATGCTTTAAGGGACAGCATACCAAATAATATTAATACAGTGATGGCTCTTTCAAGAAGCTTCTGCCTAAAACATTTAAATACAACTTTTGTTTCAAAACAGAAAACTGCAGTTACTAGCTTCTGACATGGAATTCTTAAGCATAATACTTTTGACACCTTTTAATGTGCACATCCTCTTTAATGACACCAAAGAAGTCAACGTAGTATGTCAAAGTGCCTGAAGCCAATATCCAAAACACTGCGTGGCGATTAAACCGAGGTAGTGGTTTTTCCTTCTTGTCTTCATCTTCTGGAGCTGCAGGAAAAGCAAAGTTCAAAGATGAAATTTCTGTACTACTCGAATTTATATACAACATGTGTGTTAAATAATAAGTTCATATTATAACTAATACTGGAATGTCACTTTATTCCTCCTCATGCCCTCCAGTGCCGGGTCCTCAAGAAGCCATCACACATGGCACTAAAAGGCTTCTTTTCCCCTCAACTTCTGACTCAGAACAACATATTGTGCTAAAGACAGCGATCCAATTTGTAGAACTACAGAAAGTTAAAAACAGCAAACCACAAAACAGCCTTATAAATTGACAATTGAGTTTTACGATTTCAGCAGCTATTGCCAGGTTTCCCTGGTCCTTTGAATACATCATCAATTCAGGTTTTATCACGAGACGCTTTATAAGAGGGGAAAAAAAATAAAGCTGCAGCTTGCCTGGACTAAAAGACGCACAATGTCACACTTTTAAATTGAAATTTGTTTCGAAACCTCTTCATTCATTTACAGGTTTCAGCTCATCAAACAGCTCCTGGAATCCATCTCCCAGCATTCCATTTGTCTGGACACTTTGCCTGACGTGCCCTCCCTCAGAGCCTCCTTCTTTGATTCTCCTTACTAAAACCTTTGTTTCCCATTCCAGATTCCTCACTTCCTCCCTCACGCCCGAAGAAGGCCCCACAATCACAATGTTTCTTCCTTTCCACTTTCCAGTGTGGAATTAACCTCTAATTGTTCTTTTGCAGCTAGCACACTGACACAGCTCCCCACAAGAACTAAAATGCCAATATTGCAATGTTCACATTTGAGAAGGCAATAATCATCACAACAACACCCAAAATGTAATAGAGAAAAGCAGACATTTAACCATGTAAGTGTGAAAGTATACAAGTGTTTCTCATGGGTTAGAGCGGGTCACTGACTTTTGTGTATTGTGAATGGAAGTAGTTATGAGGACTTTCTGGAGAAAAGTATACTGTAAGCAGTGATGGAATGGGTCTAAGCCTGTAACCTGTCAACATGATAACACACCACATCACAAAGCTGGAACCATAACACAGCCAATTCAGGAACCATAACACAGTCAATTCAAGGAGAACTAAAGATCTGAAAATGTTTAACGGCTGACCTCAATTGTATGAAAAGAAACTCTGGAATGAACTGTAACAATAAGTACAGAACAGCCCAGAGGGACCAACGTCACTGCACAAGAAACTGCATAGCAAGAGGAATGGCACAGAATCTACCAGATTGAATGTGTACAGTAGCAGTAATTAAGGTTGACCCTGCACCCATATAAAAACATGGTGAACACCTATCTTATATTTTGTCTCATGTCCCAATAGTGTGTGTATAAATGTGTCAGGCTGGCTCAAGAACTCTGCCTCCAACTACAATTGACTCACAGCTTGTTCTAAGGCACTGAGCAAAGGAGGGTCATATTGTAAAAACTGTAGTTCTTTAATATCAGTTCTCAACAATGAGCAATCACATTTAATCTACTAGAATTTCAGAACAAGAACAGAAAATATCAGACTCCTGCTATTTAGTTCATGTTTCCATTGAAAATGAAATAAGGGTATCCCTACTGAAACAGGCCCCCTTTAGAGTAATAATACTGCTAAGAAAGCAAGTAAGCTACATAATTATATATTTAATTGTACAGTTAAAAAAGGCTGAAAGTTGACAACTGTGTTCTGCACCAGCTGACAAAGATCATGTTCATTAACTGACAAAGGGGTGAGACTGGCAAAGGTATCAAAACAGGTGCTTGAGGGCAAAACAAGCAAAGCTTAACCAATGTATCAATAAGACTCAAGTTGAGTCTATTTCTTCCATATTGTACCAGCATGTGCAGTTCATTAAGACAGTCAGCAATATAATACCAGCAGTACATCAGATTTAAGTGTTTTTTTAATACAAATTTACAAGTATTCCCAACGGCCCATTAATATGTTAATTTTTCAGTCTGCTCCTTAGTCATACTTTAATTGATCTAAATTCATGTAATGTCAGAGTGAAAAAAAAGGTAAATTCTTTTAATGCAAGTTTTATAGTACAGCTGCTAGTCTTCAAGACAGAGGCAATCATGGAAATACAATTTAGAAGACCAGTCAAGCGTCAGTGTGGCCTAATGCCCAGTCCTCTGCTTTACCTACATGTACAAACAATTGAACACTGTAGTCTTTAAAAAGACCTCCTTGTAATGCTAGACTGCAGAGGTTTGTGTGAAATGAAAACTATATTTTGAAAAATAAGAGCTATACATCGTATTGTACATAATTATACACACAGTTCATACACAAGTACTCAAATTGCTTTTACATATTAATATTCTATACTTCCTTCAAGAATGGTACATTCTGATGTAGTTAAATTAAAGTCTCAACTTTACCATATCTGTGTGAGATAGCACATTAAGACACATTATAGAGAGAATTAAGCACATTAAGACACATTATAGAGATTGATCAAGGCACCCTAGGTCATTATGTAATAGGTTCATGTCCATATTCCAGGGCACTAAAGAGCCCAAACGTTCTTCTGCAGGTGCCAGTGTCTCGGTCATCCTGCAGTAAATGTATTCAGAATACAGATAAAACAAGGACCTTTTATAATTTGTGAAACTAAAAGTGGCTCATTTAATATGAAATGGTTCTTGGCAGAGTGCCACAGGCAACAAGTTCCAAACAACAAAAGAGCATTCAAGCTCTTCATTTGGTACCTCAGAGCCTGAACAAAGATTCTGTAGAACACACTTGGCTACATACACTTAGACAGCTGCAGTTTACACCCTGATATATATCAGTTTAGTGTATCCTTACTGTACTAGTAAAGGCCCAGTATTGAAAAAACTACTTTTCAGTTGTTTGTTTTACCACAACTGTGAATACTGCACTTAATTGGGTTAAAGCCCTGAATTCTATTATCGGGTTATCTAAGTTATCTAATATGTATAGATCGTTTTGCTCTTTTATCTTTATAATTTGTATGTTCTGGCATGGAACTTTAGTCCATGCATCTAAGCAATGCCTTGGGTTATTAGAAGTTAAAAAACCTCCACGGTATAATACCTTCAAACCACCTTGTGAACTTAAAAATGTATATAAACTACAGCACGTTCAGTCTTAAGCCTTTGTTGTTGTTGTTGTTGTTGTTTAGTAAAAGGGAACAATGCTGTCCCTGTGGAGTAAAATAAAATTTTACTGACAAAGTAATCAAAATGTGTTAACCTCTGTACACGTAGGAAAACACACATGACGATGAAACGCTGATTTGCAGGAAGGTGGGGAGGTGAGATTAAATCCATAATCGTGTGAAATCTATTAATATCTCTACACTACCTAATATGAATAATCCACTACTTATCTGACTTCTTAATTAGAAACCTCACCTGACCGCAGTCATGCTGCCAAGTTTTCCGAACGAAACGTTTAATATGTTCAGTCAGTCCATACCTGACTAATTTGCATAGAGGGTATAATCATTTCAGCCTGTTTGAAAACTGAGCTGGTGACTGGAGATAGCAATATGATTCATTCCTTGCTAGCTAAACTCACCAGATCATTGTTATTGATGGGTGTGACTTTTCAAACCTAACATAAGAAAAAAACAGGGAACTGTAGACTAAGACTGAGTCATAAAAGACAGGCATTTGTTTTTAAAAAATGCAACCTACAAATTTGCGTTAGAAAACATTTTAAGCATTTACAGAATAAGGCAATACTTAAATGTATAAGAAAGTTGTATATTCAAGACTGTTTATTGCAGCCTTGAATTCACTTACTGTTGTCAATGTCAGTTCCTAGCGAATTCCCATGCAAAAGCAGCTCTGCATTATGTTTAAATCTATTACGAAGAGCTTGAAACTCGCAATCAACTACCTGATCCGCCATTTTTTCATGAGACAGTCACAAACTCTTCCTATTGGACTGCCAAGCGTGTTTGAGGGAGGGTCTTAGCACTGTCCTTTTCCTCCAATTGGATAAAGTTGAGGCTTCGACAGGGCTGCGGTTAAAGCAATAGGCTTAACATTAACGTGAGCTAAGAACTGGACGCGAAAAGTTTGGTGTTGTACAGTATATACTGTATGGATACTGGAACTACTGAAAGTCACAGGCGTTGTATCTTTGCATCAATCTTAAGTATCAGTTACATGTCCTATGACAGAATTACAGCTCTGTGACAGAGATAAAGAATTAAATAAAATACTTGCAATTAAGCCCATTCTGATTGATTTTGTTTTCCGATACACTCAGATATATCTAAAAACAGTTGCGCATAATTCTTGACAGTTCCAATTGTCTGTCGGAAAGAAGTTGAATTGGTGGTTCCAAGCTGCAGTAGAAAGAAAATGTTCGGGTGGGTAGCTGCGTCAGCATGCATAGGCTGCAAAGGAACAAGTAACACACCTGAAGAATGGTCCACGGCCGAAACGTTGTTGTGTTTTCTTTCTTCACTTTTCAGCATGGAATAAAAAGTTAATTGTAGAATGAAAATGACATGTATTATCTATATCTCAAATGAAATAAAGACAAAATCATACATACATATCCTAAAGTATCCTAAACAGATGCCTGGTAAAGCATACAAGTAAAAGCTGCACGTCTTTACAAATACATTATCCCTCAGTTCCCTACCATCTTAGAAGAATACAGTATGCTGTATTGTCTCAATGCCTGCATGTCTGGGATGTAATGGGATTCTTTTTTAACTAATATTTTATAATAAGCCCATAAAAAGGATTGCAATTCATTATATTTTTTAAACGTTTACAAACCTTGTCTTTAAAGATGACTAAGCTTTCACAATATGACTTCCAAATTACGGAGAAGTTTGTTTTCATAAAACCAAAATTAACTAGATGTTCTTTTTTTCTGTTGAATTTGGAGGCGTTCCCTCCAGAAACTCCAATAAAAAAAAACAAACACACAATATTATTGTAGAATTCCATCATAGCTGAAAGTAAAAAAAACATGGCATTTTCTGCAGCATTGATGAAAGAATTCCTGAATTTTTCTTTTTATTATTCTTGACGTGATTTCCTTCTCAGTTGTCATTTGAACTGATAATGAACCTGTTGTTTCATTGTCAGTGAGACATAAAGAAAGTGTTATTCTGTAATGTACAAGAGCATGCCAGTATGGGATCTCACATTGTTCGAAAGGTGATACAACATGTAATCATAGTTTGAATCAGGATATGTTTATCAGACTTTCATTGTTTTGGATTCCACTAAAGGCAAGAGTAAGTAGCAGAAGGACACAAGGACAAAAAATAATTTAAATCATTGATATCTTAATGTTTTCATAACCTGAGATATTTGCAGCATGTTAATATGAAGTACAGTACATGGCAGCATATCCGGTGTTTTCACACTTACTGTAGTGTAAAATAAAAGATGACACAATCTTCACAGAAGAATCCAAGTGCCTTGCCTTGCATTGGTAAATCATTTTCAAAATACATACTACAATTTTCATGATTTCATAAAGACAGACATCTTAAAACCCAGGTTCAATTTTTTCTCTTTGTATTTTAATTTTTTATTTGAGTTGGAAACAGAATTTCTGGAGAATAATCCAAATTTCTACCATAAAGTTTGAATTCCTTATTCCAATTGACTTGTATCGTTCCAAAAGGTCCCTGTCTGTGCTTACTTTCTATCTTTATAATGATGAATTAATAATTTGTATCAATTAGGTTTGGCAATAATGGTGAACAGAGCAACCAACAATTTTGAAAAATTTGCCAGCATATTACACACTATTGTGATTGTGCCAAGGTAGAAGACATTTTAATTTGATACTTCAATTTTCCCAACACCCTCAGAAACATCAGCAGCAGAAACTGAAATGGTAAACATTCTTAATGTATTCAAAACTTTAACAGAGGTAAAAATAGATAGTCACTGCAATCAGTGGAAAATGGATGGTAACAGTTTAAACAGATTCTACTTGAAGCACAGAACAATTTTATCCCAAAAATGTGGAAACTCAAAAACACAACAAGTAGGATATCCCTAATGGTTCAACAAATTAATTAGCAAAAAGCTAAATGAACAGAGAGCACTTAAAAAACAACAAGATTCAGCTAAAGAAAAAGGTTACAATGTACTACAAGTACAGGTAAAATGGGGATATGAAAGAAATGGAGGCTAAAATAACTAATAAGAAGTAATTTCAGTACTACAACGGCAACAAACCATGTGCTGGTTTGATGATCATGTAAAAATTGTCAACATGAAAACAGTACAAGTCAAAGGGAAATGGCTGATATACTAAGGGTACTTTACTCAGGTATTCAATAGGGAAGAAGTCAGCACCATGCTCCAGGTAGCTAAAGGACAAAATTCTGAATTGGACAGTATTACCATAGAAGAGAGTGAAGTTATTCAACTTATTCAGAAGCCATTGATGCAACTCATTTAACATTTCTTCAAAATAGGAGCTTTACCTAGGGGCTGCAGAAATGCTAATGTAGTATCCATCCAACAAAATGGTGAGAAAACTGAACCAAATAATTATAGACCAGTAGGTCTGACTTCTATTACATTTAAGATGATGGGAGCAATTAGCAGAACATAATTAGAGGATCCCCAATACGGAAACACATTCCTAGGAAATAGTCAGCATCGATTTAGAAAAGGTGGGTCCTGCCTAAACTTGAGTTCTTTGAACAAGTAACATTGATGGATACACATATGACATGTGATATGGTGTATTAGGATTTTCAGAAATACATTGATGAAGTTTCACATAAAAGATTATGTCTCAAACTGAAAGCAGTAGGCATTCAGGAAAACATGAATGGTTGAATTGAGATATGATTATTAAATAGAAACCAGAGGGTAAAGATAAAGAGTGAATACTCAAAATGGGGGTGAAGTAAGTAATGGAGTACTGCTGAGATCTGCACTGGATGCATTACTCTTCCTAATTTACACCAGTGATATGGATTAAACAAAAGTTAGTAAACTAGTCAAACTTGCAGATGATTCCAAATGAGGAGAATTAGCAAACACTTCAGAAGCAGAAAATTAAACTCAAAAAGATTTTTAACAATATTCATGACTTGGCAAACACCTATCAGATGACATTTAATTTAGGCAAATGCAGGGTATTGCATGTACAGTATGTAGATAAAACATAAACTATTAATTCGAAATGGGAAATGCAGAGATGAGGCTAGTTATGAAAGAGATTTAGGGGCTTATGTTGACACATTTACTGTACATGTTCCATGCAATGTGGGGAAGCAATTAAAAAGGCAAACATACATAGTTAAAACATTTTAATTCAAATCTTCCTAACAGATTCTTATTGGATCTTCCAATTATCATTTATGATTTATGTTTGGTAGTAATTTTGAATAAAATGCAGTCTCCATTTATATTGCAATTATTTACTTCCTGTTAACTTTAGTTATATGTAGGTATACAATACCTGAAATAGGTTTCTAAGATCTGTGATATAATACTTTAGAGAAGACATAGAAACCATGTAGTTTTGTATTAGCAGTAGTTGATTTGTACTGTATACTGTATGTCTTAATTCTTAGACAAGAACTGTACTTTAGGCTATGTTTTCTAAAGGTACTAACCTAAAGCCTTCAGTTACTTACTTCTTTAATAGATACTGAGGTAAGAAAAGTGTCTAAATCACTGTATCTTCCTTTCAAACCTACAATGCAATGAGTTCAATGTTTCACTCACAGTTGTGCTAATTCACTGTGTGTCCATGACTGTTTACAAAACTAATTAGAGATGTAGTAGACACATAAATTGTCATATACTAATTGTTTTTGCATTTTAGTTATGAAATTATGTGTATTTAGTTCTTGAACATCAAGGACTCTTTAGGTACTATCAATAAAGGTCTACAAACCATCAATGTGTACTTTTACATGTTTTTAAAGATGTAGAAAGTAAATTACAGTCACAAATTTCTCATAATTCCATCACATTTTTTTGTTATGGTTTTAAATTACATCTACCCCATAGACTGAATACAAGAGAACTGATACAGTCACACCCCATGCAATTCAGTGTGCATACACTGTACATTTCTAAGTTGTTTTACGTAGAAACATAATTTAATATGGTTTAGTTACACAGCTTAGGGTCATCTGGTTTTTCCTGTTATTTAGGTTCTTGGATTTCAGTCCTCATTGTGTGAGTACCTGCTTCTCTTCCTTACATAGAAAATAATTTTAAAATCACAGGATGAATATAGGATAGTGTATATTTAAAATTATGATTTACCATGTTATTTTTATTTACTCAATTTCCTAACGTACCTTTCAAGTGTGTTTTTTTGGGTTTATAGAAAAAGTAACAGAAGAATACTGCAACATTTCGATTTAAGTTAATAAATTTAATTTAAGTGCAGGAAAATTTAAATGTTACATTTGTTAGATGTTTTTCAAGTCACAGAACCACACAAAAACCATCAATACCTGACATGTCTACCTTTAACTCATGAAAATACCATGTCATAGAGTGTCAGACATGATATGTTTGGACCTTATACTGTACATGCACAGTAGGAATATAAGTATGGAAAGCACTTAAAAAAAGCTTAGAAACTGCCCTTTTAGCTCTAACCTCAGGCTTTGAATTGATCCAGCAGTAAAGCTATTGTGAAATGTTTATTCTAATTTGACACTGAAATATTTATGTGATTCTAAGTCAGTCACGTGGAGACAAGAGTAAAGAGTTAGTCAGCATGAAAGTAGTCGAATTTACAGTATCTTCCATATTAGGGATGTTTTACAATTGGGGGGGCTTTTTTCTACACCTCACCTTTGTAAGTATTGAGGACATTTGTATGAAGAAAGTCAAATACTTTTTAATATGGCATTTTACCGTTTCATAGTGTTTACTGAGAGAAATTATCAGACTAAAAAATTCTGTTGATAGT